ACGGCGGCTGCCGCGTCCCCGCCGCGGCTCATCTCCTCGGGCGTGAAGCCGTTCATGTCTCCGCGCTCTGGGACGCCGGCGCTGACAGAAATCCCCGCTCGCCTCGCCGCTCCGCCTCTCTCCGGAGACTCTGGGGTCTCCGCGGGGTCTCTCAGGCACCTGACCCGGCGGCGACAATTCCTCCGGCGGCACGACCAAACACCAAGCGCCCTAGCCTGCTGGGATCTGCTGGCGTCGGGACAGTGGACAGTGCTTTGGGTTAAGAACCAGAGTCAGGCGGCGCCAAGAGTTAGGACCCCACTCACTGTCACATGGAGACGCTTCAGCAGTTGGACCCGAGCGCCTCCGCCTCCCTCCAGCCCCTCGTCTTGCGCAAGCGCGACGCGCCCTCTCCTGTCCCGCCCCTTCCACTCTGTCGCAGGGCACCACGGGAATTGTAGTTCTCGGGGGGAGAGTCAACCTGAGTTCTTCCCTGACTCGGCGCCTCAGGGATTGGGAGAACTACTAATCCTAGCATGCATCGCGTAGAGACGGGCTGGGCTGCTGCTGCTTCTTTTTTTAAAGCACGGGGAAAACAGGGGGCGTGTATTTGAGGGTTGTGATGTTTTCTCGCTTCTTGTCCCTCCCGCGAGGTTGGATTGTGTTTAGCTACCGGGATTTTGCAGAGTTGGAGTTCTAGAGGAAGAGGTCACTCAGCTCCAGAGACGAAGCGCAAAATGCCGGGGGCTGGGGCTAACAGGGGAGGAGAGTGAAGGTGTGGAGTAAAAAAGTTTCGGGGCTTTTCATATCTGTGGAAAAAGGCTTGGTGTGGTCATGCTTTTGTGGGGAACCCAAACCAAGGAAAATTCATGCAAGCTGGCCCTCTTCGGGTCCTGGAGGTCCTGCCGCTAACCCGGCTGCTGGATAACAGTTCCGTTCATTGACGCGTCAGACTGTTTAGGGGCGCCTGCTTAGGCGAAAACGCCCATCTCGACCTCGACCGTGACATGGCTTCTTCCCAAGTGCCTCAGCTTAAGGCCCTTTTTAAATCCTTGCACATTCCTGCAAGGAATACGTTTCATTCTTGGGCGCACACAAAGTCGGCCGCTTCCTGAGGTGGAGCTGCTGACGAGTTGGTTAATAACAGGGCTTCTTTCCGCCTCCACTTCCAACCTTTGCAGTTTCTCCTCTAATGGGGCGGAGTCCAGTCTCTTTAAAAGAGGATATGGAACCCCCACCAATACCGAGTTAGCATGAGTGCTCTTCAGAAACCCCGGCGTTCGCTCTGCGGAGCGAGAGGGGAAAAAGAAACCGCATTTTCTTGGGTATCCGCCAGCGCCTGTGGGCTAGACCGTATAGCGTGCGGGTATGTGTGTGCGTGAGTGTAGGTACGTGTATGTGTGCGCCTTTGCGTGTATGTGCGTGCGTGCCTGTGAGCGCGTGCTTGAGCAGGGCAGGGTAGAAGAATGAGAGCGGCGGATAAGAAAGCTGCACTTTTGCTGGTTACAGCGCGTCATTATTTTTATCAGATGTATCCTGTTCAGCAATCCCATTGTTAAAAAATACGAAGCAGTAAGTTCTTTTGAAAGTTCTTTTAGATTTACTGAGTGAATTTAGTGATAAATCATATTTTTAAAAATGTAAATGTCAGCTGCCCTGAAATTCAAAGTCATCTATTCCATTTTTGCTTTTCCTTTATAGACTATGGTAAAGGAAAAAAAAAGGGGGGGGGGCGGCATTAAAATATTACAGATATTGAATGGGCAAAAGAAAGATGCTGAATGGTATTTTGTGTTATCTTTTTAAGCTGCACTAACAGGGTATCTGCTAGCCATATGTGGCTATTGAGCACTTGAAATGTGGTTATTTCTACTGAAAAGCTGAATTGTTAATTTAATTTTAACTAATTTAAATTTTAAAAACGGATTTCAGCTATTGGAAAACCTTTAAGTGTGTTTGGAACACTAAGTGTGTATGGAAATCTGAATTTAGAATCCAAGTTGAGATGTGATGTGTGAACTACTAGCAGCATTTCAAAGACTGAGTACCAGAAATTTTTTTGTAAGTATATTGAAAAGCTCATTAATAATTTTTATATTATTACATGTTGAAATGATAATATTTTGAACATACTGGTTTGAATTAGATATAACATTAAAATAAATTTTACTGGTAGGGGCGCCTCGGTGGCGTAGTCGGTTAAGTGTCCGACTTCAGCCAGGTCACGATCTCGCGGTCCGTGAGTTCGAGTCCCGCGTCAGGCTCTGGGCTGATGGCTCAGAGCCTGGAGCCTGTTTCCGATTCTGTGTCTCCCTCTCTCTCTGCCCCTCCCCCGTTCATGCTCTGTCTCTCTCTGTCCCAAAAATAAATAAATGTTGAAAAAAAAATAAATTTTACTGGTTGCTATGGTTTGAAATGTGGCTACGAGGATATTTAAATGTTTATATATACATCATACATATTTGTATTAGATAATGTTGCCTTCATCTATTAAACATAGAATACTAGTATCTATTGTTCGTGGATATATTTTCTTAAGTGGTTAAAAATGAGAACATATGAACAGGATGGATACATTCCAACTTCAGGGTGGGGTTCATCTCTCAGGAGAGAGGCCATGGATACTATCTGGGAATGGTTTAAAGGTGGGGTCTGTTATATTTGTAAGTTTTTATTTATTAAAAAAGTCTGAAACAAATGTGTTAGGATGCTGGATTTCTTCATTTTTGTTTTTAAAATAATTCATAATATTGTTTGGTCCTTGCCCTTAGAAGTTTATAATCTGTCTCCTGCAAAATATGACCACGTTAATTCATGCATATGTGTATGGTTTAACAATGTATCAGTTTCATATGAATTTTACTGAAGTAATGATTTGTGGCTAGGCTTCCTTTACACACAATACAGTTTTAAAAAGACCCAGTTAAACACTCCTTTATTGCATACTAGGATCTTTTCTAGTTCCTGGGATTAAAAAAAATAATTGAAACAGGGCCTTAGCCATTTTAGAGTTCATTGTCTAGTAGACATGCTGCCAAAGACTGAATGTTTGTGTCCTCCCAAAATTCATACGTTAAAACCTAATCCTCAGTGTGATGGTGTTCAGAGGAAGCATCTTGGGGAGGTGATTAGGCCAGGAAGTCGAGCCTTCATGGATGGGATTAGTGCCCTCCTGAAAGAGGCTCCTGAGAGCTCCCTCATTCCTTTTGCCCTCTGAGGACACAAGTGACAAGATAGCATATATGAACTAGAAAGCCAACTCACCAGACGCAGACCTGCCAGCACCTTGGTTTTGAACTTCCCAGTTTCTAGAACTATGAGAAATACATTTCTGTTGTTTATAAGCCACCCAGTCTATGGTGTAATTTTTATAGCAGCCCAAACAGACTAAAACATATGCCTCAATAAAATGAGAAAAGGTACAAATTTAGTGCACAGGAGGCAATAATTCATCTCTGGCAAGTAGAAAGCATTCTAGGGGCGCCTGGGTGGCGCAGTCGGTTAAGCATCCGACTTCAGCCAGGTCACGATCTCGCGGTCCGTGAGTTCGAGCCCC